TTTATTTAGTTAATATAATATGATTATTATCAACAAACTTTATTAATGAATAATTTTTTTGTTAGTAATAATTTAATAATAGTTAGTTGTATGAGGGTAATTCTCTTTCTTTCACTTTCTCAAATCATTAGATTACTTAGACCAATGCCAACTATAAGATTTTCTTTAGTAAAACAAAACAATTATAATTAACTTTCACACTTGACCCTTGCGGCCTAATGGCAATAGCCATCCGGCCTAGTGGCAATAGCCATTCCGGTGCATTCCTCCTCTCCGGGCTGGATTCGAAACCCGCCCCTTATAAATATGTTCAAAAAAAAAAATATAATTAACTTTCTGAAAAAGAACTTAAAAGAGAAAAAGAAATGAGATTTACAAAAATAGTGGGGAAAAAATGAAGCGTAAAGAGAAAGCGATGAGGAAATTCCTCTCTCGTCACCAGAAATAAATTGTGGTAATTTTGATGGTTTTCTAATACCGTCTTAAAGATTTTAGCTGAAGCCCAAAATTTTATAGTTGGGCGTTTAGGCCTAATAGGAAAGATTGATATGGGCCTAGCGCATCCCATAATTAATTCCATTTATTACATGGATTTCATTGTGTCTATTTACAGCCCACCTCATAAAATGGAAAAGAAAACCACTTTGTTTTAGTAATGTCAAAAGAGAGAAACCACTTAATTAACTGTCTCAGATGTGTATGCGGTTGGTAATCTTCTTGTAGACAAAGATTTTGTTTACCATTTAAGTGATACAGTAATAATTTTAAATACCGACAACTTGTTGGTTTAAGTAAAAGTAATTTGATTCTTCTTAAATAAAATGTTAAGTTTGAGTGCTATGAACAGAAAAACAAATATTAACAGAGCTTCCTTGTGATTATTGAATACCGAGAGGTCAATACCAAAAAAAATAATTTTAAATTATTTGATGTATGTTATTTATCTTATATTACATAACTCAAAATATTCTTTAATCTTTCTCCTATAAAAGTTTGAGATTTAAAGTCTAAATAGTGGGTATTGTAACCCAAAATTATATATATAATAATAAAAAAAAAGGTTTCCTGATAATAAAGATCAAATAATTTTAAAAATACTTCTTAACTCTAAGTCTCAACGGTTAAACTCACAATAAACAAATCTCAAGTTTAGAAAGGTGAAAGGAAGTATTATGATTGACTGTCACCTAATTTTATCTTACCCAACTAAAGCTAATTTTATCTTACAACAATTCATCCAAAAAATTATATATCTTACAACAAAATTTAACTATAATTATGAGTTGTGATATTCTATAAAGAATTTTAATATTTATATACATTTATTTATTTAATAATATATAAAAATAATAAAAACGATGTTGTAGGGAGTTAGAGCTATTATTTAGTAATATTAAGCAGTATTCACTCATTTTAAAATTTAATTATATGCTTTATTAGAATTCAAATTATGTTCTTGTACTTTTCTAAGGTGCTAATAATAGTACTAATATGAGAACATTTTCATAATTTAATGG